ATACGCTCAACGATGTGAAGGACAAAGTTACCTGGCTTGCAAAGAAGAAATAAATGTGGCAAAATTTTTGTACTAGAAAATTTTGTAGGCTCAAATAATGTTTACATTTATTTCGACTTTGATATCTTGTGACGAAGAGGACACTACTATTTTGTATATTTATTAAGGCGAGAATGACATTTGGATTATTATGTTGTCTTCAAGCCATTGTCTTTCAATTTGAAATCTTGATATTCATATTTATAGTTCTGTGGTCGTCAAATTGTTTGGATACGTCAGTCCATGTTTTCATGTACGCTGAACGTTAATAAAAATGCACATGTATTTATTATGCGTGTAACACCGACCGACATTCTTATGTTAGTGTTATTTTGAAAGCACAGACGACGTCGCTTATAACACCGACGTTCTTAGTTGTCCATTGTAAAAAAAATTGCCCGACAAGTGCGCCGGCTAGTCTGACGTCAGACAGGACCGGCGGCACTGTCCAACAGTGGCAGCGTCGGACGACGGGTGGCATATCAGTTTAATCGAAGACGTTCGACTGCAAGGGCGCCGCCGGGTATATAAGCCGGTCGTCGCGCGCTCCGTCGAGCGAGGTGGGACTAAAAACTTGGCTGCCCGCACCCGCCGTGCCTGCAGCGACGCGCGTGACCGTGTGGGCCGGCCAAATAACACTATACGCCCGTGACGTGAAGACGGCCCAAGTAGCAGGCGGCGGGACGACGGCCCAAGTTCCACGCGGGGCGACGGGAAATGTTTAGTCCCACCTCGCCCGACGGAGGGCGCGACGACTGACTTATATACCCGGCGGCACATGAGCTGTCGAACTAGTTGATTACTTCGTACTGCTGTCAGCCGCCCGACGCTGCCGCTATGGGACAGTGCCGCCGGCGCAATTGTCAGTCTTTTTTTAAAAAAATAATTAAAACGACGGGGTTCTAAGCGACGGCGACCGTACAGTGCTGGGAAAAAATAACAGCAAATAGCAAAATAACAGTAAACAGCGACGGCACTAGTGTGCAAAAATGAGCACTGTCAAAACAACAGCGACGACACTGTCAAAACAACAGCGAGGGCAGTTCTGTGCAAAATGAGCACATGAAAATAAACAAAGTAAAAACTCCTTGTTGCATTACATAGTCTTTCATCAAAACAACTACTTATGTCGGTATATCGTAGCAAATAGTCTGACATCAACAAAGTAAAATAAGTTCATATAACATATTTCAACAGTTATTAAAGATCACATATGTAGAACATTAATAACTGTCTCCAATGAAAGGGTGAAGCAATCTTCCATAGCAATCCATAGCAATCTTCCATACTCCACAATTCAAACAAAGTTCCTACATAACTGTAAGATATGTGTTAATTCACAATAAACAAATAAATTCAGGTTGAACAATAAGATTTACAATAACATAAGGACCATCCTTACCGCGGCCTTTAACATTCTGTTTTGGTGCGCCTTTGGTGTTAACTTTAGCGGGATCACGAACAAGACCATGATCTTGATTAGGCTCAAATGCATCATCGTTCACAAACTGTACCCCCGCACCAGGCTCATCCTCCTCAGTGTAATCATTATCTATTATGTCCCTCAGAGCCGCCTTCAACTTGTCGAATAAAAATGGTTTATGACATGCTTTATGAGTTGCTTCAGCAGATAAGATAGTCAACTCACTGTACCTAGCTCTGTCACCTGCACCTGCCCATCCCCACGCAAACAGATCGCTAGTGCGCTTCACGGGAAGTCCACCCCTTGCAACTTGGCTCAACCTTCGCAGCACTAAACACTTAGGTATCTCACGTAAGCGTAGCTGAATCAGAACATGAAGAATATGTTTGCAAGGAAGTCCTTTGCGATACATGCTTCTGCAACTGCACCTCACAGTTTCTTCGGAGTTACCTGGGGTGTACTCCACAGTGAATCTGATATCCCTATTTTCCTTCCATGTCAGTATGAATCTGTGAGTGTCTGCTCCTCTCAGTCTCTCAAGGACCTCAAGCTCCCGTGCCTTCTTCATATCTTCCTGCAAGATATAAAAGTTTGCCGCAGTGAACTCACGGGTAGCTGATTTCTCAATATCTTTACACTCGTCCAATACTGGTACTGGAACTGTCTGTGAGTTTGTGTAATCGTCATGCGCCTCGCTCTCACGAAGACGAACTATGCAGTTCTCATAGTGCACAATCATATCAACAATAGTCATACCGGAGTCTAGATGCAAGTGAAGGCATGAATTCAGACTCTCACTTCGCTGGTTACTTCGCATACCTAAGAAAAACCCACCCGACAGATATGATGCAGCCCAAAGCCTTTTCTTCTTGTACATCCTACGTAACCATGTTTTTGTTTTCTCCGACTGCCATTTGGCGCAAAACGCTGCCCATCTCTCCTCAAATACCTTCTTTGAAGTAGCATAATAAAGTAGAGACCTGAACTCCTTTAGAGACTTATGATGAAGGTGTTTCTGCATGTTCTTCTCAATATGCCACGAGCAAAGACGATGCCAAACCTCCGAAAGTACCTTTCTTATGGCCTTAATCATAGCTGCATCTCCATCAGTAATTACGGACCTGGGCCTCTTCTGACAATGAGCCCTCAAAAATGTCTGAAGCAGCCAGACATATGTATCCTCTGTCTCGTCAGACACAAGAGCACAACCGAATACCGTGGTGCAACGGTGGTTGTTCAGATCGACAAAAGGTATAAATGGCATGCCATACCTATTCATTCTGTATGTGTTGTCGAAGACTGTCACATCACCGTAGTCAACATAGTCTCGACGTGATTGAGAATCACACCAGAATATGTTTTTCATCCTTCCTTCATCATCGACGGTGTGCTCAAAGAAGAAATCTGGATCTCTCTCTTTTCTGGTCATCATGATCCCAATGGCAGTGTCTGCATCACCTTGTGCAAGCAATTTCATTTTTTCTCTATAACACATGTTATAAAGGTTTTTCCTCCCAAAACCAGCCTTTGCATATGACCCGTACCTACTGACGAGTTGATCATAAATCATATGTTTCCTGATTCCAGCACCTGCCATGGTTAAGATCTCAGCTTTCTGATATTCTTTTATCTGATTATGAGACCGAAGAAACGTGACTTCATCCGGTCTAGCTAGAACGTGACTGTGATCATCATTGAAACTGCTGACATACCAAACGTCACGCTCTTTATCAAGTTTCAAAGTTATATGCGCATCGCAGAAGCAACGAGTCTCCCCTCTCAGTCTGCGGGTCCTGCCTTCCATTGTACAAAGTTTTGCCTGTCGTTTCCCAGCTCTCGCACACCGATACTTTCTCAAGCGCTTAGTTCCCTCAGGACCTTTCGAATATTTCAGTGAGTCCTTTCTTACGCTGAAACCACGCTCGTAAGCATACTGGTTATAGAAAATGTAAGCCTCTCCTAGTGACTTGAACGTCTTCCTCATGACCTTCCAATGCATGTCCAATAATTCTTGCTGATATTCATCAAATCCGATGTCAAAATTAAACAGATCATCACCAACATACTCATCATTCCCGCTTGTACCATCTACATCTCCCTGTAAATTAATGCATTAAACCATTTATGTCAGTCAGTTATTATTTTAATATGTAATAATGTAGTTATGTAAGTTTGAAAACTTACTTTGCTGGAGCTGTCATCATGAGATGGATCAACGTGCGATTTGTCACTTTCATCGTCCACAATATTCCTCACAAAGTCCCCGTCCTCGTCCATCTGCCCGCATTGCAAAAAAAACATGTAAGCGCTAATATGGTTATTATGTCATTTCTTCTCTGATTTTATTTATGACATACCCGGTGTGCACTTTCGGCAAATGAATCATCTATATCCATATCATCATCATCATCGCCATGTCGCTGCATGATGCAAAAAATTATGAAAATTTCCGTGTGGTCTACCATATTTATTGTTTTTATCAACCTTGATCACACTTACATTACCACTATAAGATTCATCCAAATCATGTAGTTCTCCTCAGCAGGTTCATCCATATTCAGTGACGAGGTTTCGTTGTCCTCGTCGTAATCATTGCCATCATAATCGCCCTCCTCCTCTAACTATACATAGTTAAAAAAAATTGTACGATCAATCAAACACCGTGTAACATCATCCCTAAAACAATTATTTCATCAAGCACAATGTTGTCTCTAACCAACCTCTTGCACGGCGGCCAGGATTTCAGCCGGATCCATTTCTTCCGATGACGGCCTGACGTTGCTGGCCGGCGGAGGCAGGTGTCGACGGCGTGAGGACGACGGCTGGTCGTAGCAGGCGTACTGTGCGGAGGGAGGCGGCGACGTAGATCGTGGGTGGGCGGCCATCTGGGCGACGGGAATGGAACGCGGCGGCAGCGGCAACGGAGCCTGGGCAGGCGCGGCGGCAGTGGTAACGGCGCCGGGGCACACGCGGCGGCCTGTTTGGGCGGCGACCCGGGCGACGGCGACTTAGCGCAGACGGGGGCCGACGTGGAGACGGCGTGGATGCGTTAGGGTTCTGGGTTGTGTCTTTTTTTTTCCTCGAACAACTGTCGACGCCAACGTCGAGACGTGCGGGCGTACGACTGCGACGTACGGCGACGGGTGCGGGTACGCGGGCGGGCGTACGTACAGCGACGGGTGCAGCGTATGCGGGCGTATGCCGTCGCGCGCGGACGTACGGCGTCGGGTGGGTATTCCTATACCTAATGTGAAATTACCATACTATCCACTATACGTTTTAGGGGGGTTGTACCGAAGCACTCCCCAATATCAAAACGTTAGGGACAGGTGCCCGATTTGTCGAAGCAACTAGTACTCTCTCTATCTCAAAATATAAGATGTATTCTGGTCCAATTTACATGCTGAACAATGGATGGGACCAATGAACATGGGAACTCGAGATGCGAGATCATCGTTGCTTTATAATATAAAGCGGGGGGCAACACTTTTTTTAGATGCCAGACTCATCTCTGATAGCAGACATGGGTAGTTGTAAATTAGAAGGGGAGGACATAGAAGCCGATGGCGTGGAGGTAGTCTCCGGCGCGGCCGAACATGCCGACGACGCTGCCGTTGTTGAGCACGGGCAGGCTGTAGTGCGTGCTGTCCACCGCGTGCCCGAACGGGCCGTAGGTGGCCTGGTTGGTCACAAACTTGATGGAGGTGATGCAGTGCTCGATCTCCTTGAGCTTGAACGGACCCACCGACCAGTCGACTTGAGTTATGTACTCCGACGGCCCCAGGGTGATCTGCACGACGTACATACATACAAGTATGTGTATCAGACCAAGAAAAGAAACAGGAGTGACAAGAAGTGCCCTGGATCGCTCGCTCACCGTGTCCGGGTCTTCCTTTTCCCCTCCGGCGCCGCCCCAGGGCCCGGCGGTGTGCAGCTGCTTGTCCTTGTCCATGTAGGTGAAGCCGACGGAGTCGAGGACCTTGCCCCAGCGGATGGTGATGCTCTCCAGCCGTTGCGGCGCCACCGTGATGTCGTGGGCGACCCCGTCATCGCCGCCCCACGTCCCCAGCTTCACCACCGGGCTCGGGCTCTGGCTCTGGCTCTGCACGCACATACAAAACGACCAGCCGCCATGAGTCCTCCTGTGAAGATAGATAGCACA